TGTGAAAGCATCGCTACTTGCTCAGAAGCATAGCAATATTTCTATGACTGACACGGTTCAAAAAATACCCGCTGAAATCCACTACGTTATTCTTACTGATGGTATGCTGGACCTACGTGGAGAATTACTTTATGAAGCAAGATTCCTAAATACTCGAGTAAAGTCGTGTTCTTGAAACGCAAAGAGCGAAGGCTTGTGATCGGTAAAGATTACATTTGGGTATCCTCAAGCGCATACTTAAAATGCGGCGCGGATTAATAAATCACAGTAATTTTTTCACCAAACTTTCTGGTAGTCGTAAGCGTATAACAAAGAATGCAAGAGGTTTACAAGTGCCCGTGTACGGCAGACAAAGAGTAGCCTTTCCGATGGTTCTGGGTTGTCTGCATTAACGCCCAAAGGGCGGTGATGTTGCAGTGTTAGATTCCTGCGGAAAAACAAATACACTGTTAGACGTCTCAGCTGTGACTCCTGTAAGAGCTCAGGAACGCAAATTGTTTGGCTCTTGAGCAACATGTGGGCAGATTACCAAAAGTAACACAACGTAAAACAAAAAGAGCCTAGTGATATACCGCACAAAGAAATGTCAAAAAGAGCACAGCAAAGAGCTCTTGTAGAAATATTTTAACCTTTGTTCTTCAGCGGGCGAAATCCTCAATGATTGGTATGGTGGCCAAAGACTCAGAAAGTCCTCTGGGTCCTGTTTTTGTTGGAGCAACTTACATGCATTTTAATTCACAATAGTCTTTTATGTTTTGGATTTTGTGGCTTTACTACACCTCTATAGCTGCAAATATACTTCGTCTGATTTGGTGTCTGGCCGAATTGTGGCTTGAGTTCAAAGGGCTGGAGCTCCTCGCATCAAAGACCAACATCGACCATCCAGAGATCCGGTTGCTTCTATGTACTCGTTCGCAAAAACTACAAGCAGTTCCATGGTCACTTATAGCTGTGACTACCTCAACTCATGTGCGGCCATCGTCCTCAAAAGAGGCCACGTGTAATGATCTGTATAGTAGGCTTAGGCATGCTTCCAAGCTTTTGACCAAGAAAACTCTTCTGCAGCTTATAAGAGACTTAGTTTCTGTAGTTCGTCGAGGAGGTTTATTGAAGACCTGCACCAACACGCACGTGAATTAGCCTGTAAAGTGCTCTGAAAGCCAGGTATGAGCCCTACCATTGTTAGCTGATGATGTGGTCAATTTAAAGGCTTCTGAATTATCTGGCAGGGAAGGCAGAGAGTACAACAGCCATCAGTACGTCCAAAATCTGTACTCCTGAAAAATAATTACCGATCGGTTAGAAGGTACTGAAGATGTTTGTCTTCGCTACTACCTTTATCGGTTTAGACTAAACATAGCATCACAGTGTGCTTTTAAGCGTTTTTCATCTAGCAATTATCATTACGTCGCAACGTCCAAAGGTTCTTACAGTTCCTGTGTGTACAAAACTGGATGACATTTTGCCTTGCCGTGATGCTGTAGGGGCTGAGCTGGGCCAAGTTCAACAAATCTCTTACAGACACAAAAAGACATCAGAAGGAAATATATTCAACTCACTGCCGCTTCCAGAGATGTCTCAGCAATATTTCCGACTGTCGCGACAATCTACAGGCTTTTGCTTGACACTGATAGATAACTGAGTAGGGCAAAAACGTCACTGTGTGTTCCAACATGCGAGAGCTGATTAAAAAAATAAATGATGATAAGAGTCGCGACAATCTACAGGCTTTTGCTTGACACTGATAGATAACTGAGTAGGGCAAAAACGTCACTGTGTGTTCCAACATGCGAGAGCTGATTAAAAAAATAAATGAATGATAAGAGTGAATCATGTCTCTTCGGAGTGATTGAATGATTATAATTGGGAACTGGCCGACGGAGTTTGCGATGGATATGGCAATTACGGTCGAATGGAAAGGAGCAATGCACAGGAGTGTGCTAGCTCTGTTTTTCGGAGTTTAATTGGGAGAAGGTCGGCAATTTTGTCCCTCTGAACCTTTACTCACGACCCTGCAAGCAGGAACAAAAAATAGATAAGCTTAAGTAACATACAAGACCCTACATTATTCAAGCAAATGAACCTCACCGGGCTGATTTAAACGACCTGGTGGCCAATGAGTTTGAAAATTCTGTTTTACGTGTATCGGAAGACAGCTTTTCAGAATCTGTTGGTCCACTTATGCGGTGCCATTTTAAGTTACTTCTGGACTCACCTCCCAGGTTATCTGGAATACCTACGTACCTCATGCTCAGAAATCGTCAGCTAGCAATGAGTCATTAAGTCATTTTCCACAGACGCCTGAAGACAAATTTCCCGAGTCTGTGTTTACCTACCGAGTTCCAGAAAGACATAATCCTGGATTTATTGTTGGGACGTGACGAAAAAACTGCATTTCATCCGTAGATAATTATTCCAATCACTAATAAATGCTGGAGTCAAGCAGTAAGCGATCAATATATTCTAGAAAACAAGGCCTTTGCTGCCATTTGGACGTCGTTGTGAATTGATTACTGCAGATCTGCACAGCGTGTCAGGCATACGAACGATATACAAATATCAGGAAAAAAAACTTGAGGGAACAAACACAGTGGTGCCAAACGATTAGTGATGCGCAACGCGGCTTACAGGCTGTTGAATTCCATGTCCTTGCATTTTTTGGCTTTGAACTTGGATAAGTATGCATCAGGCAAAACGGGAAAGAGAAACTGGATGTGGTGTAGTTGATGTTAACCTCAAGGTTTGCTAAGGTGAGTCACTCTCTCACTTGTTCTTTTGAGGTAGTAGATTTGTATTTGAAGTCTTGGGATGGCAGAAGTATGATAAAAAAACCTGTGCTCATATGTGTGGCTCCTCTTATTACGAGGAATTACGTGATATGTCATCAGTGGCTTTTATTACGAGGAATTACGTGATATGTCATCTAGTGGCTTGGTTACTCAAGAGTGTGGAGTCAGAGACTCCAGATCACTGGAAAAAACAGCGGAGAGGGTACAAGGTTCTCAAACAACAATGTTTCAAAACAAATGACATACGCTGGCACAACACCACTGTTTGGCATTAAGGGTTTGCCCACGTGCTTTTAAATAGACTCTGTTTATCAAGACGAGTTAATTACTAAGATTTTGAGGGTTAAGCGGATTCAGGTGAGCAAGAAGAAAGGTGGTAAAGCGGTGAATCCTATATCTCATCGAAAAACACTTCAAGCGTATCAGCAGAATGTCTTTGTGCCACAACGGCCACTCTTCAAAAATTCGTCCTCCAATTTTGAAAGTCAAATGAGGTTAAGAGATGGTGGAATTGCTGGAGTTTGGCAAGGTGTTGCTTCACTATGAAACGCGACTCATTTTAATGTACTTTATGTGTTTTCCCTGTTCTGCTGGTTAACTAGTCTTAAATCCAGGCCAATACTGAATGGTGGGAACTAGTAGTCTGCTACCGAACCAGTTTGCAAAAGATAGTAGAATTCCTTAAGGGTCCGTGCCTTTGTAATATCAGCGTGTGCTGGGGTGTGCCGAGTAGTAGTGCCTAATGTGTGTAGAGTGTTTCAAACTTTTGCGGTCAGTCAGTATAACGACCGGCGTGGAACGGCCTCAGGAATCGTTGAGCCGAGCAAGGGGGTTTCACAACTGAATTGTCCACAAATGCGGTTAAGACAAGAGATCGCACACTGTTTTTCTGACCTCAGTTCAGGCAGCACAAGATTTTTGTCAGCGCTATAAGAATGAAGAATCATAATTCCATGATGAAGAGAAATGGCCACATCATTTACTTGGTACGCCGTTGTTTTATCTAATTTAAATTGTTGCTCTTGTTCGACCACCAGTAGAATGTGAGGCCCGAGTTTATCAACAGAGAATCAAGAACAAACACCAAAAGCCGAAATAATCTAACGTGTGACAGTAAGGCGAATACTTAGGCTAAGAGAAGCAACTGTCGGTCTAGACTAGTTTTCTTTACTCTTGAATACCGGCGCACTAGAAGAATTTTTCTACATCTAATGGAACACGAACTTACGGCAACTGAACGCTCCTTTAACCCAAAAAGGTGTAACACATGAGAAGCTACTCGTCCAGGTAAAACAGTCCAGAAGAATGGATATCCAAGGAGTTTTATCAAGAGAAGCTTGAAGAAGAAGAAGACATCTCAACAACAGCCACAGCAAGAACAAGCCACCAGACGGGTAGTCCTACCTTACATCAAGAATATATCAGAACACGCAACCAGATTATTGGCGCAAAAAGGAATCTTCGTGGCCCACAAAGCGAGTGCTACTCTAAGGAAATTAATCTCTAGACCGAAGGACAACCGGGACAAAACCAAGAGGAACAATGTGATATACCAAATCGACTGTAACGACTGCAACAAATTCTACGTTGGACAAACTGGGAGAAAATTATGTACACGAATAAAGGAACACAACGCGGCTGTCAGGAGGCATGACCCCCTGTCCTTGATATCCATACACGAGGACCAGGAAGGCCACAAATTCAACATGGAAAACGCGAAAATTTTGGCATACGGAGACACGCGACACGGAAGAGAATTTCTGGAAGCATGGTACTCTACGACAGGTTCAATAAACCGGTGCATCGAACTGGATCCAATTTACGCACCTCTACGCGCGAGAGATCAACATCGCAACCGAAACACTCAAGGAGGACCGAATAATGGATTCACAAACGAAGAAACAAGGAACTCCTCGGAGTCAAATCAATAAAGGTCACAACCGGAACTCGGAAGGACAAAGGTCACTCCAACATCGACTAGACTACGACGGCGAGGGATGCCAAGTTCAAAAGTCACGTGGGCATCGGCGAATGAGGACACGGGATAAAAAGAACAACCAATGGAACCGCCCGACAGAATAACTAGTCGCGGTCAAAGGTCATCCCCGGCTACCAGCACGTATATCAACACACACGTAACACTGCTGAACGCACAACCACTAACCCACCGCTACGCACAACTACGCACTGGTTATGTCACCTCGATTAGTGATGAAACGTTTGCAACCAAATTGCCCAGCTCAGCGAACAAGCCAGCGACCAGCTTATGTACGTTTCTTGATACTAGGTGACACAAATCATGGATTAGTTGAGAGGAGGTCTTCTTTAAAAAACTCGCTAAAATTTGAATGAACTAAACAGAAATTCCTGATGGTAGAACACCCACAGATGTTGAATTCTTTGAACCTGAATGATCTTAGGTGGCGTGAACCGTTTGGAGCTCCCTAAGAACATATGCATACGGGGTTCAGGACATACCTTGTGACCGACTGAAAGTTGGCCGACAATGTGAAAAACACGTTGCATGTTGTCACTAGTGTACTTCCGCAGTGCGTCTGGATTCCTACTTTTTAGCGCCTATGTCAACTGTGCTCCGACTGCGGTATCCAAACATTTAATGATCTTAGATGGCTTGAACCGTTTGGAGCTCCCTAAGAACATATGCATACGGGGTTCAGGACATACCTTGTGACCGACTGAAAGTTGGCCGACAATGTGAAAAACACGTTGCATGTTGTCACTAGTGTACTTCCGCAGTGCGTCTGGATTCCTACTTTTTAGCGCCTATGTCAACTGTGCTCCGACTGCGGTATCCAAACATTTAATGTTGTGAGTTTACTGAGAAACTCGCAATCAGTTCACTGTCATAGCTTAAACTGATGACATCTTCTGAGTGAAGCCCCAGTGCATGTTTTCTGGCGTAGTGTCCCAAGATGGCAGGGATACAGAAAGTAATGCCGTCATTGATACGATAGACGGCTCTACGCTTGCTGCAAATGTCAAGCCACAGTTTTCAAGGCTGGTCTGCTCCTATAGCTAGTTCACAACACATGAAGGAAAACGGTATCTGTGTGGTTTTCTGTTGCATAACCCTTATCGATGCGGCAGTTGAAAACAAGCATGGTACTATGGTAACACGGTGAGGCGGCGATAAGATACATCGGTCCCAGAACGCTCGCGTTCGTGGTCCGTGACAACCCTAATATAGTATCATAATCAGGTCGAAAGGTCTTAAATTGATCTTGATTCTCATGCCACTTGAAAATGGCATCTCCACTGACCACCATATCTAGAACATTAAAACATTGCTTCGACAGAGCAGCATGGGTAAGAAACGGCCTTCTTCAGGAGGTACCGCTCCAGTTTTGCCGGCTACGGTTGCGAATTATGAACGCTTACCAAAACCCGTAAAGCTACATGCTTCACTAAATTGATGAAGCCAGAAATGGCCAAGTTTACTTAGTCATAACCTGTCTGATTCGTCGACACTAAAGAGACATAAAGGACGAATCTCATTGAGAGTAGAGAAATGAGCTTACTACAACTCGTAGTGAGTATATTGTTAGCGGCCTACCATTTTGCAGCTTAGATTGAGTCGTTTCACTCTGTGCCAATATGGACGACGCCCTCACTGGCTTTCAGGGCATATTCTCAAAGTGATTTACAGGTGCTTCATCCACCTTGTGCCCAAGACAACAAAACAAAGACTGTTGACGTATGCTTCAACCAACTATTGCTGACAAGAGTAAAAATCACGGAAGAGGTAAAAGGAAAGAGATTAGTTCAACAACTGAGGATCTCTATTATATATGACTGCTGTCCCCGCTCTAGTGCCTAATTGCCGGAAGAAAACTCGCCGACAAGGGACACAATAGCTTTATTGCAACTAGCGAGTACGAAGGTACAACAGCTTGGTGCTATACATTGAAGGGACACTGTTCGACCTTGATCCAAGGCTGTCTGATCGGAGTTTAGTAAGGGTCTCATCAGGTTCCGGGATGATTTGACCTTCCTAACAATGTCCATCAAACCAGCCACCTCATTTTGTCCCTTGAGATATTCAACTGCGTTCACAACACCACGCCAGTCACACAGAATACAAATATTCCGGCTGGTTTACCATCAACAGAAGCTTGCAGTCATGCCTTTTCCTTAGGATAAATCACCCACCACATTCACTGAAACGACCAAACACGCCACTTTAGTACAAATGTAAAAATCTAAAAAAATATCCAGCGAGGGTGACAAGTTTGATGCAAATTCAGTTATATATTGAAACCTAAAGCTCTCTTCTGTGTCTAGGTCCGTTTTTAAAGTTCATCAATGACCTGCTTATGATTTCAAAGCTTGTCAATCCTATTAACAGAGCCAATTATCTCTCCACAACTAAACTGATTTAAGAACATGAGTTGATTATCTGTGAGTTGAGGTGGTAAGGATACTTAACGCGTGAGGTGCCATCTTCAGACAAGGGGGATGATATAAAACTGACTGCTGATAAAACCCTACACCAAATGTCAATTTTTTTGTTTCATCTTGTTTCTGCTGTTAAAAATCACCTGGTTTTTTAAATATAACGTTATCAAAGAGTTCTGAATAACTTTGTGAATAGGGTTCCTTTAAGACAATGCTGTCCAGTTTAACCAGGTTCGCAAATAAGAATAATGGCTTAACTCATAACTGTCTATTTTGTCCGTACACCGCCGGTTTCTGTCAGCCAGTCTGAATTTTTAATCAATTCAGAAATTTAGGATTATTTGTTAGACTAATGATTGGAGGGAACCGGGGAACGTGTGAAATTTGTCAGCTAGTACCCAATATCTTCTACATTTGCTCTTTCTTTCTCACTCCTTTAGTCGGAATGCGGACAAAACTTTTTACGCGCAGCGCGTGCGGGCAATTTATCCAAAGTGCTCGATTTGCTTAACAAAAGTGCGGTGGACATTCACTCATGCAACACGGTAAGCCAGCCTGCCAGTTTTCTGTTTTTGGTAAGCTTGGTTATTGGGTTGAATTATTTTCGGTAGAGTGACATCGTTGAATGAAGCATTTTACACTGGCCTGTAGCTAAAAGTTTTGCCTAAACAGAAGAACATTAGACTTTCATAAAAGAAACTACTCACAAGGTTGCTGAAAACTCTTCGACTCTTCCAATTTGGGTTCAATTAGAACATCAGGTTGACGGAATCTCGGGGACTGCGTCTATCTGATAAGCTCCAAAAAGGGTGAAACCGGTCGTGAGCTGTCGAAGAGTTTTCAGCAACCTTGTGAGTAGTTTCTTTTATGAAAGTCTACTGTTCTTCTGTTTAGGCAAAACTTTTAGCTACAACGAGGCGGCCTGTGTGCAGCACATTCAGTTGTAGGGCATCATAAACGAGAGATTCAGTTGAGCCTCTCGTGATTCACAAATGAGTGTACTTCTCGAAAGACATTCGACTTTCCTTGCGTTGCGTTGCTTTATTCAACCCTGTATCACATCTAAAAAAAACAGCATTTTTGACCAAAATCGATTCAAGGAAAAAAATCACTCCCCACTAGTGGTATCCAACAATGTTGTCCATGAATCACTAGTCGCCTAATAACCCCTTTACATGGAGGCAAGTCACCAGAAGATGACATAAGGAACTGCACTCATGTGGGACCACAGAGAGAAAAAGTGAATACGTCATGATTGACGGTAAGTGCTGATGTTGGCCCTACATGATGGGGCCACTTCTGGAGGATCGTGTGCGCAATTAACCTATAAATGTTTGTCCTTTTTGGAAACGTCGGACGAAACAAAGTGTTTTGATAAGACGCTGTGGCTCGCTGAACCGTTGGATGATGGTCTTTTCCAAAAGCGGAGATGCTACATTTTAATACGCAGCTCATCAAGGTGTTCTGTATCCATGCACAAAGTTTTAAAATGCATTTTCTAGCTTTCATGCGGCTCTTCCATTAGCTTCTTTGAACCTCCTGAAGTATGTGTCATGTTGAAACCAGGCACCTCTGTCTTATTTCATTTCCTTAATTTTTGTGACAAAGTAGCCGTCGAATAAAGTACAAAACAATATGAAGTAGCAAAGTAGTAATACCCTAAGTTTTTTGGGGACAAACGTTTCAGGTCACGAGCTCTAGGACAGTCTCTGCAGTATGTACCTGATAAGTTATGTTAGGCTGCATCTGGTGTAATTCAGTTCAGTTTAATTTGCCGGCCATAAACCGTGTACCACAGGCACATTGCTTCCAGTTTCGATCACCGGAAAACCGGAATATGGAACGTACAACCAGGCCTTGGAGGTGAAAGCATGTTCAGTTTGTTCGTAAACAGGGCAGCTACACGTTCAGAGCGATAGCTTTGAGCGCCACTGACTGTACGATTGGGCCATTACTGCCAATGCCGTTAACCACTGGCAAGTTGAGTCCCGGGGTCCCCATACAGGGAGATGGCAGTTGCCCACCCGACTAAGTTTACTGGCGGAACTTGACCAAACTATGTTTGGCGCATCGCTCTGTTTAATGAGAACTAGTGGGCAATGCGGATGACGCTACTTCAGAAATAACAATATATTTAAACAGTTCACCACACCAGAATGATGGATATGTACGCTGCTATCCATTCGCTCCGTAAATGCCACTATAAGAACGATGCGTAAAGATATTGAATGAACTACATTAAATAGGCTTTTCAACTTAATTCACCTGGTTTGCAACCTGCAATCCACAGGCACCACATACGTGGTTGTTTAAATGACTAGTCATTCGTGAACATAGCTGCACTTCCTGAGAGTGCTGGAACCGGCAACTTAGCTTGTCATTAAACTGTCCTGAGTGCGCACGTACTTCGATTTACAGGAAAGACAATCGAGGAAAGTGACCAGCTTACCTTTTTGTCGGTCCACTCTTGTTGAAAAATCAGACAAAAATCTCGACCGGCGGATAGAGACGTCGTAGATTTCCATGGGAGAAGCTCCTCTTCAGAAAGATTTTAATGTGGTTTTACTCTATCTAGTTTTGACGACGGTTCATGCTTCTTCGGAGTCGGGATTGGCGCTTGGAGGTGCTCGTTAGTTGAGGTAAAGTTCTTAAGTAGAGGTTTTTGGAGATGCACTCTTATGCGAGGTTTTACTGTACTTGGTGGCTAAAAAAGGTTCTAATCAGATTTATTTTCATCAATGGACGTTGAGGCTACTGGCTGTGATGTCATTGATATCGATACTAACTGCAGGCAGATTCACCGTTCGGACCGTTTGTGGCTGGACTGTTTGTAGTACGGTTTCTAGTAAACCACCGGTCAGAACTCTTTCAGTTAGGTTCTAATTATAGCAGGATGTCGAACGAACAGTGTAAGACAAAGTTTACTCATCTGCGTTACCCGATGTGCTTCTCTGAGAAAGTGTATGGGCGGACGTTTGGTGCCTTCCTTGGCTCACTCTGTTGCCAAACTGGATCGATGGAGTTTTATTGTCCCATTCAAGTATCAGGTTATGCTTTCATAAGGCATTATGAATCGTAAACACTTGTTTGCTAAATCACGCCTAGCCATTGACTTGCCATTTATGACAGTTTTATAGCGAGATCAATCGATGCCTACGGGCTCATCTCAAGAACACTTCGGATACCTGCAGGGAGGACCAAGTAACAAGACTTTCACACTAGAAGTGATGACCCCAAAAATTTATTTGCTGAATAGCAGTAACGTATCAACCCCGGAGTTATTCCTCTCAGGACCTCCATTATTCTTGCTTTTTGGCTAGTACAAAAAAGAAACCATCATACGTGAATGACAGACGCAATATTCTCATGACCTCCTAAAAACGCAGATTTACTCTCGTTGATAAAGTGATCGTAGTACGGACAGGCCAGCAGCCTATTACTGTGATCGACGTCGTGAGCCTTAAAGTCAAAAATACTATATTAAGTTGCCCAGTACTGGTATGAAGATAAAGACGTATTACATGTCCTTACGGGGGTTCGGGTGGATATTTAATATAATTTGTCTATTTCACTGTCACCCCAGACAAGTTACAATGTAATCCAAATGCGCACAAGTCATATCCTTTAATCGTTCTTTTGAACAGAGATTACTCTATCCTCCCCAGCTGTGTGACCTAATTGCAGTTTGTCGGTTAAGATCATATCTCATCTGTAAGACAAACCAAGGCGGTGTCAGTTCAAGTCCAGCTGCATGTGTTATCTGGCGTCCAGAAAGTGTTCGTCAGTATTCTCGCTCGAATTCCCGTTGTGGTGGTCACTGGCTAATTATCTTTCATAGAGCGTGAGTTGATGGCTACGCAAGTTTCATTAGATGACTGCTCACAAGATCTTGGAAGATGAATGGGCCTCATCGACTCGATCCAGTATCTAGCCGAGATAAAAAGTTAGTTGGGCTCAGCGTGTACCTTTCTTCAGAAGAAGTACAGTTTTCGAGAAAGCTGTGCGTTAGACTGTCTGTTGAGCATACAACAATTACAAAGACTCGTTATCGCATTTGGTGAACACGTTTTAATTTGTTCCAATACACAGTGTGTCTGGCGTGACAATGTGACAAAATGCACTTAGACAGGCAGCAAAATATAGTAACCGATCAGATGACATATGTTCATACCCCTCAAGAAGGAGACACCGGATTTAATGTGGAAGCTAAGCATGAACGGCGTATAGTATAGCTGAGCTGGAAAGTTGGAACTTGGCTACTGAATGTGTTATATGTCATCCCAGTTTGAGTCCTCACCACCATATATAAGCACTTCTCTCTGCTCACTGATAAGCCGGACAAGATTCCTGTCGAAGGTGTTCATCTTGAGGTGTCTGAGTGTGTGGGAATGATGTACACCTCTAGCTGGAATTGTCCATTCAACTTACGACTACTTGATTGTTACACAGCCGATTGGTTTGCTTGTGCCAGTTTTGTGTGCACGGTTTTCTGGACTATTGGTTGCACTTGATTTTTAAGGTCTTACGATCTGAGATTATTTGGAGTTTTTCACTGTAATATATACGACAGAATGGATTTCCTCATTGGTCCGAATGCTGGGCCACTGATTGTTGATTCTGCCGGATAGGCTAATGTTCAGCCCCAGCCCGTGCCTGCAACAGAAGAGTGGATACCGCTACAAGCTTTGACATGGTGGTAACCATTGCCGGTCGACATCGGCATATATTTATCAGATGTGCCGCATCGGTCGAACCGCCTCACTGGTTAGAGGATTGTCTTGTGATGGATGGGACCAATGACCTACAGGCATGTGGCTCCAAGACCTAGCGACCCAGTAACACTCTTCTGATCAATGAAAGCTTGGTGCTGGCACTGCTAGCCAGGTGCAATTACTCTGCTGTGATTGAGTACTGAGAATAAAAGAAAACCTACGTCAGGCAAGCGATACATGAGAATCGGTTTAATGCATATGGGAAATTCGCGATGGACGATAATTTGGTGTCTAGGCAGGCTTTAGCCAACAAATGACTGCGAAAACAATAATAATACTAAAGAAAGTGGAAGAACCAAGATCGAACCAGTAGACCATTGATTACAGCGCTCAAGGCTAGCAGGCTGCACTTAACACTCAAGGTGACCGGGGTTTTCTCAGTGCATACCGGGGACAGGACGATAAACGAATACGGCCCTCATGTTCGACAATGTGAATAGCTTTGTTTTGCTTAACATCGGATTCCTTTTGGGGATTCATTCTCTTGAACAAAAAATAGCTAGTTCGATGACACACAGCAGCTTGGGTTACAGTGATCCACTGAAGTCCATACCAGACTGCATTCAATTAAAGTCAAGCAAATTAGACCAGTTTGTGCACCCTGAGGTGAGTTTTCAGTTAGCCGATTGGCATCAGACGAAATGGAAAGACGTTTGTTTGGATTTCTGGAAGAAAAATCGTCTGAAATATTTACTAGTGAAATCGTGATACGTGCAGACGAGACGCGAGGGTGTTGCACAGGGTGTCAGGTTCGATGACCATAGAATTATGGTATGTTAAAGGTGAGTGTGATACGAGCACCCGAGGTACTCGTGACTTTAGTGAGAGGGTAGGGAAGGCTAGGGCGATTCGTTCGTCCAATCTGAAAGTAAGTCCACACTTTTCATGAAAGAAACTGCTCACAAGTTTGATTAAAACTCCTCGAAAGTCCACCACAGGTTTCACCCATCTTGGGGCTAATCAGGTAGACACAGTTCCCGAATTTCCGTCAACCTTATGTTTTACTCCAACCCAAATTGGACCGCTTTTGACAAATGTGCTCATTTGTATATCAGTTTGGTTTTCATGGAAAACTTAAATAAATCTCTTGTTCATGATGTTCTTGTGAGTAGTTTCCTTAATAAACATATACCTGCGATATCTCGAATATCGTGTCAACCGTAACATGAGGCAGCCTTTGTGCAGCACATTCATTTGGAGAACATCATAAACGAGAGATTCACTTTTGTGGAAAACAAATTGAAATGCAGATAAGTGTATCCGTCGAATTCATCCTAAACTTTCTTCAAACTTTTGCTGCACTTAGAACCGTGACAGTTCACTCCGGCTATACTTTAAAAGGACACAATGATTGGCATGTCAAATTTGCGGTAGGCCATCGGTCAAGAAGTTAGATAGAATACATGACTGGACACTTCGGACGTGTTACACAAGTCGTGTGCTTTGCAGAGCGTGGAACAAGATTAGACTGAAGTGAACTGACATGATAGTATGCAGTCCGTATGGAAGACCAGCCCGTCCAGCAGGTTGAAATGTCACTTGATTAGACGCTGGATCAGATCTTAAGAATGTCAAGCTGAAATTAATGCCTCTGTCACGAAGCAGACCCTTTGTGACCTACTAAATTAGTATTTTAGTGAACTTGATGATCCACTGGGGTTCGGTGAACTGGAAGCTACAGGAAAAACTGATCCAATGTGCTATTTGTGGAGCAAACTAATAAACTCTCAATAGGAATTCGACCTATTTGAAGCTGCGTGGGCTTTCATTTCTATCATTAGTCCGAGAAGTAGCTAGCTTATTCGAATGACGGATTTTGTATGGGGACGCTTTCCTCAGCGGATTTCAGAGGCCAAAGGCGAAAGAAAAAATGTTTCTGTCGTTCAGTTGAGTGCAATTTCGAAGGCATCGCAATCGAACGATCGTCGGACATGTTGAGGACGATCATTGAGACAGCTTAGGAAACTCGATTATGGTTTGGAATGGACTCCTGGTGTTTAACTGCCTTGCCGTAGAATGCTGAGTTACGGACTTCCAAAAGTAAGTGTTATGATTCCAGGGTCCACAATTCAGTCTTACATCGTAAACAACAGCTTAGTTCAGCAATCCATTTTTTGTGTCCCTCATGGGATAATTTGCTTTTCGAGAAGTCCGTTAATCACAGAAGACACAAGGTTCGATTAAAGTTATCCCTAGGTCACACTTGCGCAGATTGGAACATACGGCTATGTGAACACAACCAAAAGCGTGAAACAAGACCATTGGTTGGTACGGGATAGAACAGCTGGGCCGAAGTCACCAGTAGGAGGACCTTGGGCTACGGACAGGAGGGAGGAGATTGTGGTCTGTGTGTTGTGAACTTGTGGATGGATTCGAACGTGTGATGAATGATAACGCTTTTTCGTGTGTTTTTCATCGTACTTGACTTGGCATTTATCTACACAACCGTATGTTGCATACTCTGCAGAGAAATGATTGAAACTATACGTTCCTCAAACCGTGATTATTCTGTGACTAAATGGAAGTCTTTCGCACATTGCGTTTTCGTATAATTTTGTAGATGATAGGGAGGTAAGGCCTGTATTGTTGCAAAAATTGGATAGAACATCCGCCTATCCTGTGAAGCTGTGTGAAACTGGTAGACAGTAGTATACTGTTTTCGCCTTGTCCATCGCATAGAAAGATTCTTCCACTTTGTTTCACTTCTCTTTCAACTGGAAACAACCCTCTCGATATCTCAGCTTTTTACGACGGTGAAGTCTATACGTTTAAATGTCTTATGGTAATTTCAGCAGCAATAGTCCCATCCACCGTTCAAAATGTGGCAAAGTGGCCGTCCTCATCATCACCATCAGCATCGATATCATCATCTGAAAACATGGTTCTCTCCCTCGTTTGAACACGAATTTGGGTTTGACAAGAGCCTCGGATGAATCCAGCTGAATATCTTGTTTACGTTGGGTCGGTTCAACCGAATGTGCTGTACCATGTCATCTCATGGCACAGTTGATGGGATATTCAAAAGACCGCAATAGGCTGTGGCTGTTTAGACGTAAAACGCTACACACGCCTGCTTCAACTATCATAGACGAGATACTAAGCTGGATTCAGTTGAGTCTCCCGTCAAAACAAAATTCGTTGTCGGAACATATCCAATTTGGGTTCAAGGGGAACATAAGGTTGACGGAAACTCGGGGACTGCGCCTACCTGATGAGCCCTAAGAAGTGGACTGTCGAAGAGTATTCAACAACCTCACGAGTAGTGTGTTGCGCCCGGACAAAAAATGGTACTAGCCCATTTTTTGTTGTATCTTCTGATGTGGCTGATGCAGCCAGCGACGAGCGGAAATCTGGCAAGAGATGAAGCGGAAACAAAAGCGTCCAAACTCGATCGAAAACTGGGATAGTTCGAATTAACCTTCAAGCAGCTGTCCACCACTTTACCGAGACAAATTTTTTGCCGGCTCAACAAGTGGTCCTACAACCCTTGGAAGATGCCTTATTGATGAGAATCTCATGACGAATTCAAGTGGAATTCAAGCAAACCCTTGTTTGATCAAACCAGAGGTGATAGTTGAATAAACTTGAATAAACTTGGTTTCTGCAATACGGTTTAATTAGTTTTTGGAAGCTCGGATTGAAAATGACTCAAAATACCACACAAAAACACTTGTTTTTCTGTCCAGTCTTCTTAAGTGCGGAATAGCTCAGACACTTCATCTTAGTTTTGGAGAGCATCGTGAATTCCAGTGCGAATCGATAAAATGCTAAAATGATACTGGTAATTTTAAACTGCTAAACTAATCAGGCAGTGGCCCGGATGTTAACTGAATCTCGAAAATGATATTGTATGGCGTGATGAAAATCTTCTGTGAGAAAGCCACCCATGGCACACATATCATCATCATCATCATCATCA